AGAGGGTCCCAAGATCGCCCAAGAGGCCTTCAAGATGGCCCCTTGACGGCCCAAGAGGCTCCCAAGATGGCCCCAAGAGGGCGCCAAGACGGCCCAAGAGGCCTCGAAGACGCCCAAGATGGCCTCTAAGACGGCCCTGGAGCACCCCAAGAGGGCCCCAAGCCGGCCCAGAAAGGCCGCCGAAACGGCTTCCGACGGCGTCAGACGGGCCAAGATGCCCCTAAGATGGCCGAGTGAAGGTGGCTCGAAGCTGGCCCAAGACGGCCCAAGAGGCCTCCAAGAGGGCCTCCAGGAAGGCCAGAAAAGGCCCAAAAGAGTAATTATCCAAAGGTTTTTGAAGGATTTTGACATTTGCTTCGTTTCGGCCTTCCGACGGCCCGATACAGCCCAAGAGCTCCCAAAGATCGCCCAAGAGGCCTCCAAGATGGCCCCAGAACGGCCCAAGAGGCGCCCAAGACGGCCCCAAGAGGCCCCCAAGACGGCCCAAGATGGCCTCCAAGACGCTCAAGATGGCCTCCAAGACGGCCCACGAGCCCTCCAAGACGTCCTCCAAGAAGGCCCGAAAGGGTCAAAATGGCCTCCAGGCGGCCAAGTTGCCCCTCAAGATGCCCACGTGCTCCCCGAAGGCTTTCCAAACCGATTCCGGGAACACATGGTCCGATAGCTTGGCAGGTCTGGCCTCAACGTTCGGCCACATAGGCGCTTCCACAAAGGCAGGGGGCGGCGGTGATTCGCCGTAGGCGTCTTCGATCTGCCCCCCCTGTCGATTCATCGCAGGGGTGCCTAGCGTGCTGAACCTTCTCGATGTGGGTTTTGGTTCTTTTTCCAAAAGAACTCCCACTGGGTTCCGGCGCGTCCCGCCAGCCACCCGGAAACTGCACAAGTCAATGCCGGTTCCGACCCAAGATGGCCCAATATGGTCCCAAGACGGCCAAGATGGCCCAGGATGGCCTCCAAGATGCCTCCTAGACAGCCCAGATGGCCTCCAAGACGGCTAAGACGACCCCAAGATGCATCCAAGACGGCCCAAGATGGCCTCAAGATGGTCTAAGACGGCCCAAGAGGCCCCCAAGATCGCCCAAGAGGTCTCCAAGATGGCCCCATGACGGCCCAAGAAGCTCCCACGACTGCCCCAAGAGGGCCCGAAGACGGCCCAAGAGGCCTCCAAGACGCCCACGATGGACTCCAAGACGCCCAAGATGGCCTCCAAGACGGCCCCGAAGCGCCCCAAGAGGGCCCCAAGTCGGCCCAGAAAGGCCTCCAAGACGGCTCCCGACGGCGTCAGACGTGCCAGGAACCCACCAGGATGACCGAAGTTGGCTCGAAGCTGGCCCAAGACGGCCCAAGAGGCCCCCAAGAGGGCCTCCAGGAAGGCCAGACGAGGCCAAAAACCTTAATTGTCCTAGGATGTTTGACTGATTTTGACATGTGCTTCTGTTCGGCCTTCCGACGGCCCGAGACGGCCCAAGAGCCCCCAAAAGGGCCTCCAGGAAGGCCAGAAGAGGCCAGAAACCTTGATTGTCCTAGGATGTTTGACTGATTTTGACATGTGCTTCTGTTCGGCCTTCCGACGTCCCGAGACGGCCCAAGAGCCCCCAACGGCCCAAGAGGCCTCCAAGATGGCCCCAGAACGGCCCAAGAGGGCCCAAAGACGGCCCCAAGAGGCCCCCAAGACGGCACAGGAGGCCTTTGAGACGCCCAAGATGGCCTCCAAGACGGCCCTGGAGCATTCCAAGAGGGCCCCAAGTCAACCCATAGAGGCCCCCAAAACGTCTTCCGACGGCGTCAGACGGACCAGGACGGCCGAACATGGCCCTAAGCTGGCCCAAGACGGCCCAAGAGGCCTCCAAGAGGGCCTCCAGGAGGCCAGAAAAGGCCAACATTATTGATTTCCCATAGGTTGTTGAAGGATTGTGGCATTTGCTTCTTTTCGGCCTTCCGACGGCCCGAGACGGCCCAAATGCCCCCAAAGATCGCCCAAGAGGCCCAAGACACGGCCCCAAGAGGCCCCCAAGACGGCCCAAGAGGTCTCCACGACGCTCAAGATGGCCTCCAAGACGGCCCAAGAGCCCTCCAAGACGTCCTCCAAGAAGGCCCGAAAGGGTCAAAATGGCCTCCAGGCGGCCAAGTTGCCTTCAAGATGCCCACGTGTTCCCCGAAGGCTTTCCAAACCGATTCGGGGAATACATGGTCCGATAGCTTGGCAGGTCTGGCCTCAACGTTCGGCCACATAGGCGCTTCCAAAAAGGCAGGGGGCGGCGGTGATTCGCCGTAGGCGTCTTCGATCCGCCGCCCAATTTTGATTTATCAAAGGGGTGCCTGGCGTGCCGAATCCTATCGGTTTTGGTTTTGTTTTTTCAAAAGAACTCCCCCTGGGGCTCTGGCGCGTCCCGCCGGCCACCCGGAAGACCCGGTTGCAAACGGTTGTCCTGCCCCACACGGCCCCAAGATGGCCTCCAAGACGGCCAAGATGCCTCCAAGACGGTCAAGATGGCCTCCAAGACGGCTCAGATGGCCCCAAGGAGCCTCCAACACGGCCCAAGATGTACCCTAGACGGGCTAAGATAGCCTCAAGATGGCCCAAGACGGCCCAAGAGGCCTCCAAGAGGCCTCCAAGACGGCCCAAGAGGCCCTCCAGGAAGGCCCGAAGAGGCCAAAATCATTGATTTTCTCTTCTCGGCATTCCGACGGCCCCAGACGGCCCAAGAGACCCCCAAAGATCGCCCAAGAGGCGCAGATCTGGGAATGACGGGGCGAAAACCACCAGGTCGTCGGTCTCAGAGCTGCGTGCCAGGCAGAGCCTGGCAAAGTGAAAACAGCTACAGCGGGGCCAGGGGCCACTATGGCCACACGCAACACGAGATTGCAATGCGGACGGTATTGCTGGCACACACACTTGGATCCAAAGGCAGGAAGTGCACGTACCAGGAGGGGCGGCAGGATGCCGCCAGGCGGGTCTGTCGTCCAAGGAGCAGCTGAAGGCCGCTGTTTGATAGAGATTTGTTTTGTTTAGAACTGGTGGGGATACGCGAAGCGTCAAGAATTTGGAAGAACTCCTCCGAGGCATGTGAGTTTCTAAATTTCCCGCTGGGTTGGGCGAGGGGCGGGCGCAGTCTCGAGGAGCTCAGCCGCGGCCTGAACTCTGGCCGCGCGATGGTTTCTCGACATTCCAGCTGCGGGGGGCGAGCGCAATCTCGAGGAACTGGCCCGCTAAAGGCTGGCGATTAAACGCTCCTCGAAATTCCGCGCCAGGGCAGGGGGCCGCAATTTCGAGAAACTCCTCCGCGGAATGAAATCTGGCAGTCGGGGAGTTTCTCGACATCGCCCGCTGCGGGGCGAGGGGCGGGCGCAATTTCGAGAAACTCCCCCGCGGTTTGAAATCTGGCCGATTGGGAGTTTCTCAGAATCTACGCAAAGGGATGTCGTCACGCGATGCGAAGTTCCCCCCTCCCCATCGAATGCTCCCTCCTCTTCCTGCTCTTTCTGTCATCTTCCTCCTGCTCCTCCCCCTGCTCCTCCTCCTTCCAAATCGCCAGAAAGTCCCCGCTGGGGGGGGGGGAGCCGGGGGCGAGCGCAAACTCGGGGAACTGCACCGCTAAAGACTGGCGATTAAATGCGCCTCGGAATTCAGCGCCATGATAAAGGCCGCATTGTCGAACAACTCCTCCGCGGCCTGAAATCTGGCCGCCCGGGTGTTTCTCGAAATTCCCCGCTGGGGGGGGCGGGGTGCGAACGCAATTTTGAGAAACTCCTCCGCGGCCTGAAATCTGGCCGTTTAAGGGTTTCTCGAAATCCACCGCTGGGGGGCGAGGGGCGGGCGCAATTTCGAGGAATTCACCCGCAGTCCGAAATCTGGCCGCCTGGGGGTTTCTCGAACCCCCCCGCTGGGAGGCGGGAGCGAACGCAACCTCAAGAAACCCACCCGAAACCTGAAATCTGCTTGCTCGGGAGTTTCTGAAAATGTCCCGCTGGGGGGGGGCGGGGGCGGGCGCAAGTTCGAGGAACCGCACCGCGGGCTGGCGATTAAACGCGCCTCGGAATTCAGCGCCAAAAAAAATGCCGCATTGTCGAGAAACTCCCCCGCGGCCTGAAATCTGGCGTGACTGTTGCATATAAAATGTTTAATCGTCCCAGAAACACCCTTCCTGGGACTTCAAGGCTGCGCATCAAAGTGACTGTTGCGTTATGGGAATCCTGCATCGTGCCAGAACACCATTCCTGGGACTTCGGCCATACGAATCCTTGAAACTACTGCAAGCATTGAAGGCGGATGTCCGCAGCGCTAAGGCGAGAGCCGCATTTTGAAAAGGAGCCACCCTTCATCCCAACTGCTGCAACACTTAAAACGAATGTGCTCGGCGCTTAAGCGATAGCCGCAATCTGAAAACGACCCGCCCTCCATAGATCCTTGAACATGTTACTGGCTTTTGAAACGAATGTGCGCGGCGCTAAAGTGAGAACCACATGTTGAACACGAGCCGCAGTCGCCCTCCTCAAATTTCAAGCTACAGGATCGTACATGGTGACAAATCCTCAAGCGAAACACCTGGCCCGCCATACCGACACATCTGGGGGCGCGACGGGGAGAGGTCATCAAGAGATGGTGGGGGAGGAAGGATCAAAGCGAGGCGACGTGGGGCTACAGGATGAGAAAAACGACGAGGAATACGAGGAGGGATAGCACCAGGAGGATCGATGAGGAGGATTCGTATGAGGAGGGGGACGGGGAGGAGCAACGTGGATGCGGAGGAGGAGGATAGCGGTGACGAACAAATCGACCACGACGCCGAAGGCGCAGACCGATCCGGAACAGGGCGACGCGCGGGCGCTCTTGGGGGCCACCTCGGCATAAAGCCTGTTTGGGGCTCCTGGACTCTGGCTATAATGTTCGTGCCGCTTTCTGTTTCTTCTTCTTCTTCTACGAAGCAAAATGATTACGCCCTCTTCTTCTTCAACAATACTCCTGCGGGCCTGAGCGCCATCCGGCTCGTCGGTGGAGTTCAGGCACTCGCGCAGGCGCTCCTCGGCAGAGGCAAGAAGGGATGGATACCTAGCCCACGGGGGGGGCTTGGCGCGCACTCGCCTGGGCTACCTCGTCGAAGATGCAGGCGATCGGGGCGCCTGTATGCACGTAGCCATCGTGCTGCCATGGAGAACGAAGTGGCTATCGCGGCCGCGGCCAGCCTCGGTCACGTATGGGCTCCCCGACCCAGATCTGAGGAGCGCCGCGAAAGCCGGAGCCCCCGAGCCCAAGAAGGCTGTCCAAATTTCAGCGTCTTGACTGCGCCCATCGTTCGGAAGAAGTGAGCAGAAACATGGAGTAGGGAGGGCGTTGAAAGTCGATTTAGGTCGAGCGTGCGTGTCCTCCTACAGGCGGATTTTGGACGAAAAACCTGACCGGACAAGAACGGGAAGCGTCGCTTTAGTCCACCAAGCATGTGGAAAATGCTCTGTTGTTGTTATGCCGCGCAGGTATGCCGTGGCGCGCGTGTCCGCGTGCGTGCGGGGTGTGTTTTGCTGTGCTCCTGTGTGTTCTGCCGTGCTCCTGTTCTGCCGTGCTTCTGTGTTCTGCCGTGCCTTTGTGTGCTCTGTGTGTTCTGCCGTGTTCCTGTATCTGCCGTGCGGATCGTCGCGGTGGTCGTTTTGGCAGAGCTTCTGGGCGCACACGGCAGAAAAATATCAGGAGCACGGCAGAATAGGCCCCAAGAGCGAAGGAGCACGGCAGAGAAAGACAAGGAACACGGCAGAAGAGACCCCAAGAGCAAATGGGTACGGCAGAATACACCCCAAAAGCTAAGGAGCACGGCAGAAAATGACCAGGAGCACGGCAGAATAGACCTCAAGAGCTACGGAGCAGGCAGAAAAAGACCAGGAGCACGGCAGATCAGGCCCCAAGAGCGAAGGAGCACGGCAGAAAAAGACCAGGAGCACGGCAGAATAAACCCCAGGAGCTAAGGAGCAGGGCTGGATATGCCTCAAGTGCGAAGGAGTACGGCAGAGAAAGACCAGGAGCACGGCAGAATAGACCCCAAAAGCTAAGGAGCACGGCAGAGAATGACCAGGAGCACGGCAGAATAGGCCCCAAGAGCGAAGGAGCACGGCAGGAAAAAAACAGAAGCACGCCAGAGTACACCCCGAGAGCTGAAGGAGTGCGGAAAAGTAGACCCCAAGAGCGAAGGAGCAAACCAGAAAAAGACGAGAAACACAGCAGAATAGAACCCAAGAGACAAGGAACACGGCAGAATACGCCCCAAGTGCGAAGGAGCACGGCAGAAAAAAAAGCAGGAGCACGGCAGACAAAGACCAGGAGCACAGCAGAATAGGCCCCATGAGCGAAGGAGCACGTCGGAAACAAACCAGGAGCATGGCAGAATAGACTCCAAGAGCTGCCGAGCACGGCAGAAAAAGACCAGGAGCACGACAGAATAGACCCCAAGAGCTAAGGAGCACGGCATACTAGGCCCCAAGAGCGAAAAAGACGCCAGAAAAAGACCAGGAGCACGGCAGAAGATGCCCCAAGAGCTAAGGACGACGGCAGAAAAGACCGAAACACAGCAGAAAAGGCCCGAGGAGCCAAGGAGTACGACAGAAAAGACCAGGATCACGGCAGAATAAGCCCGAAGAGCGAAGGAGCAAACCAGAAAAAGACGAGGAGCACGGCATAATAGAACCCAAGAGACAAGGAGCACGGCAGAAGATGCCCCAAGTGCGAAGAAACACGGCAAAAAATGACCAGGAACACGGCAGAATAGACCCCTGCGTGTTCTGCCGTGCTCGTGTGTGTTCTGCCGTGTTCCTGTGTGCTCTGTCTGTTTTGCCGTGCTTCTGTGTGTTCTGCCGTGCTGCTGCGTGGTCTGCCATGTTCCTGCGGTTTATGCCGTGCTCATGTGTATTCTGCCGTGCTCTTGTGGGTTCTGCCATTTCCCTGTTTCTTCTGCCATGCTCCTGCGTGTTCTGCCGTGCTCCTGCGTGTTCTGTCGCGTTCCCGTGTGTTCTATCATGTACCTGCTTGTTCTGCCATGCTCCTGCGTGTTCTGCCGTGCTCCTGTGTGTTCTGCCGTGTTCCTGTGTGCTCTGTCTGTTTTGCCGTGCTCCTGCGAATTCGGCCGTGCTTCTGCGTGGTCTGCCGTGTTCCTGCGGTTTATGCCGGGCTCATGTGTATTATGCCGTGCTCTTGTGTGTTCTGCCATTTCCCTACTTCTCCTGCCATGCTCCTGCGTGTTCTGCCGTGCTCCTGCGTGTTCTGCCGCGTTCCCGTGTGCTACATCATGTACCTGCAGGTTATAGTTATAGTTATAGTCGGGGCCTTAAAGGCGAAAGGAAAAGAAAACGGGGACAGGGCCAGGCGGGACCCAAGTTCCCGAGAGACGCCGGGTCCCAAGCAAGCGAGCCACGCGCGTCTACTCACACGGGAGCAACAGACGCGGGCGGACAGGCGGGAAGGCCTTCAATCATTCCCCGACGACTCCGAGCCGCGGCGCGCCAGGCGGCGGCGGACCCTACGGCGCCAAAAGTTTTTGTCGTGCCCCTTTCTCTGCATCGGCATGACCCCCATAGCGCTGCTCCCGAGCCGAGCTCCAGGGCCGCCGTGTCGTCCCCGCGGCGGAAAGCGGCCGCCCCCTCGCGCAGGCGGCTGCTGCCGATCTCGGCGCCAGGCTCGTCCCCGCCGGCCGCGGGGCCGCCTGCCGTGCCCCACCCGCTCCCGGAAGGGCCCACGACCCCCACGAGAGAGAGGCGAGGAGGAGGAGGAGGAGGAGGAGGAGGAGGAGGAGGAGGAGGAGGAGGAGCAGGAGCAGGAGCAGGAGCAGGAGCAGGAGCAGGAGGGGGGGGAGGAAGAGGACCAGTACATTTCCACCGCCGCTGGCCAGATTCCTCCCCTTCCTGCAGGAGCCTGAACCCAAGCCCGGGTCAATGCGACCCTGGCTCTGGAAGATCCTGCAGGACCTGGCGCTCTGGCTGACCCCCGTTTGCATTGACCCCCGTCTCGAATTTCCCGATACATGCCTCCCCAACCCAACCAAGCCTGGGGGCGTATACACCGCTCCTGGGCCCAGGATGGGCCTGGCCAGCGGCGGTGGGTATGTACTGGTCTCGTCGCCCTGCACGAGCACCAACACGACCCCCCCCCCCAAGACTTGGTTTCCGCTGCGGTTTCCTGTTCTCAGAAGAATTTTAACATGATGCACAGGGGGGGAGGCCAAAGGGGGGAGCTTTTCCAAGCTTTTGCAGAAACGCATGGTCAAACAAATGTGCGGCTGCGGACTTTTGTCATCGGTGGGTTTCTATGGCGACTGTCGCTGCCCAAGCCGAGAGCAAGCAAACCTGAGTACGTGTGGCTGAACACTAGCGACTCTTAGTATGAGTGGGGTTGAAAATGACTGGACCGGAATATGAATACGTGTGGACATTCGTGAGAGGATCCGCTCATGTGCGCGCCTGGGGGACCCTTACAATCTGGGCGCGAACGGGCCCGTGTCATACCCGCTGGCAACTCCCCACTGGGAGGCCCGAAGGCCATGTCTGCTACATCGCGGTGGTAGCTCCGGGAGGAAATGCTTCAACGGGGCCGGCGCCCAAAGGACGAACCGCGGCGACGAGGGCCCCCCCCGAAGGCCAGCTACCACTGCCTGAGCTCGCCCTCCTCTGCGCAACCGTTTTCTTTTGATACAGCTTGCCGCCCGGCCCCCTGCGCCGCCCCGCTGCTTTCGAGGGATGCCGTCCATCGATTGGTTTCACATACTTTGGTAAGCTCAAAAAGAGAATGGGAAACCCGAGGTCGCAGGGCGTCAGACGCGAGCCCCACGACCCCCAAAAAGCTCTTCATGGAACTATGGGAAACCCATAGGTCGACAGAAATCCTCAAGGAATCTGGCGAACAATGGGTTTCCCAGAACTGTCCCCGCCGAATTATGGGAAACCCATAGCTCGCCAGAAACCCCTAGGGAATATGGCGACCTATGGGTTTCCCATGACTCGCAACCTGGACCCCGCTCGCCGTCGCGAAGTGTGGGAAACCCATAGGTCGCCAGATTCCCTAGGGAATCAATGGATTTCCCATAATTCGGAATCTCGGCCCCGCTCGCCGCCGCAAATTATGGGAAACCCAGAAGTCGCCAGATTTCCTAGGGACTCTGGCGACCTATGGGTTTCCAGTGTTTCGGAAAATGAGCACCGCTCGCCGCTGCGAATTATGGGAAACCCATAGGTCGCCAGAAACCTCTAGGGAATATGGCGACATATGGGTTTCGCATAATTCGGAACCTGGACCCCGCTCGCCGCCGCGATTTATGGGAAACCCATAGGTCGCCAGAAACCTTAGGGAATCTGGCGACCTATGGGATTCCCCTACTTCGGAACCTGGACCCCGCTCGCAGCCCCCATTGCGCGAGCGAATTCGAATGCGAATGCCCCATAATTGCGCGGCGTCTAAAATTATGTGAAATTCCACGGGGCCGCTGACGTGAGCGAACTATGAGAAACCGATAGGTCGCCAGAAACCCTACGAGTTTCTGGCGGCCTATGGGTTGTCCATAATGCGAAATTTGAACCCCGCTAGCCGCTGCGAATTATGAGAAACCCATATGCCGCCAGCTTCCCCAAGGGTTTCTGGCGACCCATGGGGTTCCCATAATTCGGAACCTGGACCCCGCTCGCCGCTGCGAATTATGGGAAACCCATAGGTCGCCACATCCCCTAGGGAATATGAAGGCCTATGGGTTTCCCATAATTCGGAATCTGAGCCCCGCTTACCGCCGCGAATTATGGGAAACGCACAGGTCGCCAGAAACCTTAGGGAATCTGGCGACCTAGGGGTTGCACATACTTCGGAATCTGGACCCCGCTCACCGTCGCGAATTATGGGAAACCCATAGGTCGCCAGAAACCACTCGGGCGTCTGGCGACCTGTCGCCCCCGCGAATTATGGAAAACCGATAGATCGCCATATTCCCTAGGGAATATGAAGGCATATGGGTTTCCCATAATTCGGAATCTGAGCCCCGCTTACCGCCGTGAATGATGGGAAACTCAAAGGTCGCCAGAAACCGCTAGGGAATCTGGCGACCTATGGGATTCCCATAATTCGGAACCTGGACCCCGCTCGCCGCCGCGAATATGTGTCGCCCCAGGGGCAATCGTCCATCTACGGGTTTCCCGTAATTCCGAATGATGGGAAACCCATAGGGCGCCAGATTCCCCAGGGGGTTCTGGCGACCTATGGGTGTCTCATAATTCGCAGGCCTGCCCAGAGATGCACGACTGCCCTCTCGAGTGGCGGGTGTGCGGGTCGGCCTCGCCGAGGGGATCCCTAAGCATCTGGCGGTGGCCGCGAGGGCTCCGCGCTAATGGGGGGGGAGCGAGCTGCTGACTTCCCTCTGCCACCCTCTCCGAAGACCAATCAGAACACGTGATAGCATGGCCAGAGGGGCCGTAGGGGATCTGGCGACCTACTGGCCTCAACCATCATCTGCGAAAACCAATCAGAACACGCGATAGCATGGCCAGAAACCCGTAGGGAATGTGGCGATCTATTGGCCTCTGCCACCATCTGCGAAAACCAATCAGAACAAGTGATAGCGTGAGTGCTTGAGACCCCCAAAGGGCGGCCGAAACATGACTGGAAGAACGTGGATCAAGAGCGTGAGCCCCTCCATCGAGGACCTTTGGCGGCAAGTCATGGGAGCCTTCCATACCATCTTGTCGGCTCTTGCGAATCGACGCTCGTCGACGCTGACCAAAGCTAAATCGACACTGCCTCATCGACTCCGGGACGCCAATCGACGCCAGAAGCGGAATTAAGAAGGCACGCCAGGCTCCCGTGATTTGCCAACGAAGAGGACCCGTGGATGTGCCCCGAGTGAGGGACTCCCACGCCGTGGTGCACCCGCACTCTGGGCATCGCTCGGACGTCCATTCCCTGTGTTTTTTCGGTTTCGTGCGTGGTTTTTTCCGCCAAATGATCAAGGATGCTCCTCGATGGTCCTCGCCGAATGAAACATGCACACGTCCGAGCGATGCCAAGCACTGTTCATGGGGCCATCGCCCTTCCGGAGCGCCAGGCGGCCTACGCCCGCGACGAGGGGAGCGCCGGGGGCGTGGACGGCCGGAAGATCCGGGGGGGTGCCGAAAGACGGGCCACAGCAAGCACTGACACGCGGCAGGCCGGAGACTCCGCCACAGAGGAACAATGAACACGACGTAAACATAAACTCTTGGCGGTCCGTGCGGATTTCTTGGATCTGCGCTGGACCCACCTCCCTGGCGCGCGGAGCGCGCCAGAGGCGCCGCCTGGGGGGCCCAGCACGGATCCAAGAAATCCGCGCGGAGCGCTAACAGTTCATGTTCACGTCGTGTTCTTCTTCTTCGAAAGCATGCGCGCGGGGAGCCCCTATCGCCCTTCCCCTTCCGAGGCTACCCTCCCGCCTCTGCTGAGGGGGAGCGGCGCTGCATCGCCGATAGATCGACGATGGGCCCCCGACGGCGAATCCGCACTTTCCTGGGCAGGGTGGGCCATCGGGCCCCGATCGGCGAACAGAGGGCGATTAGAGACGTCAAAAGGACCGCGCGCTCCGCGGGAAGGAGTCCTCTCGAGGCGCTGGGGGCGCCTCCTCCCGCACTCCTCCTCCTCCTCCTCCTCGTCCTCCTCCCTCCCTCCCTCCCTCCCTCCCTCCCTCCCTCCCTCCCTCCCTTCCTCCTCCCGCACTCCCTCCCTCTCTCCCTCCCTCCTGCAGCCAGCCCCGACCTAACATCACCCCTGGGGGGTCGAAGACCGAGGCCACCGAGGTCCCTGGAGGCCCCCTCTGGGCCACCAGGGAAGCACTGGAAGGCCTCTGGCAGGAGGCCTCCATAAGGGACCACCGGGAGACCGCCCTGAGGCCGCCCTAAGACGAAGGCAGGACCGGTACCAAATCGGACTGGTGCAAATCAGAAATCTCCGAGGTCCGGAGTCCGGCGGTCCTGAGGCATGTATCGGGCGTCGCGGCCCTCTCAGACGATCCAGAGCGCCCTGAGTGTCCTGGACGCTTTGGGGCGATCTATCCCGATCCTGGACCCGATTTCGCTCCCTGAAGAGGCCAGAAGGTATCGATACCGCTACTTCCTGGCCCTCTCCTGGGGCGCATGCTGACCAAAATCTCGGGGAGAATCCAGCCGTGGCGACGAGGGCTCTACAGGACGAGCAGCGGTATGGGTAGTTACCTTTCCCTCCTCTGACTCTCCTGCACTCTCGCCTCCTCGCCGCCGCCGAGCGGAGAGCGCCAGCCTCTCTGAACAGGGCAACTTGAGACAACGGCAACTCAAAGTCGGTCCACGGACCACCCTCCCTGGCGCCAGTTTCCCGAGCTGCGTCCAACATTAGCGACGAAGGCCCTCCCAGAAGTCAAGCTACCCGTCGGTCGTTCAACGTAGGTACTTTTGTTTATGCCCAGGTCGCAATCTACTTCAAGCGCCTTCCTACTTCAAGAGTCGAGAGGCCTTCCACTTTCCCTCCTCTTCGAGGGGCGGGCGGAAGCCCAACCTACTTTCAAAGCCTTCCTACTTCATGTTTCTACCCGCTTCTTCCGACCGACGGGTACTGGTGTCTCCACTGGCGCTCCTCTGACTCTCCTGCCCCCTCCCCCCGGGGGCGACGACAAGGGGCGAGCAGCCCCGGGGAGCGCAACACGTCTCCAGGGGCGCCGATGGTCCATGACTCTGGCGCCGCTCCCCGGCGAATGCGCGTCATGCCCGCCCCCTGGGCTGTTCGCCCCTGCCGTCGCCTTCGACCCTCCCCGCCGCCGCCGAGCGGAGAGCGCCAGCTGCCCGGCTCCCCCGGCAGCTCAGGGGCCCCGAGGGGCAGGGCCAGCTGCAGCAGCGCCTTCTTCACGCCGTACAGCACTAGCAGCAGCACCACGGCGGCGGCCGCCAGCACCCGCAGCATCTCTGCGGGCCCCAAGAGTATACACCACCACCGCGTCGATTCCTCCTCCCTCCTCCACCCTCGTCTTCCTCTCCTCTCTCCTGGGAGAGGGGGGGGGGAGATGAGGGAGGTGGTGGTGGTGGTGTATACCTTTGGGCCCCGTCATCTCGGCCCCCGCCGCGGGCGCCCGCCGGCGGCGTCGGCTCGGCCCCGAGGGCCCCCGCGGCGGCCTTCGGCGCGCGTGGCCGGCGGGACGCTCGCTGGCGCCCCCGCGGCCGACAGCGGCCCCCGGCCAAGCGGCGGCTGCAGCCACGGGCGGATGAGATCCGGGCGTTGCGATTTCTTCAACGGGCTCGAACTTATCCCCATACCTAAGATTGACACGCCCAAAGGCGATGACAACCTTGGGGTTGCGCCCTCGCAAACTAAGGGAATCCCCGAGAGCGGCATCGTGATGAGGCGATGCCCGGCATAGGGATAGGGCTCCGTCCCAGGCTGGTAAGATTCCTTCACCGGGCGTGTTCGCCAGATCTCGGGCCCCTGGACCATCGCATATAGATCCTGGCCATCGCTCGGACGTCCATTCCCTGTGCTTTTTTCGGTTTCGTGCGTGTTTTTCTCGCCAAGTGATCAAGGATGCTCCTCGATGGTCCTCGCCGAAGGAAAAATGCACACGTCCGAGCGATGCCAAGGATCATGCCCCAAACGTGCAACCAGGTAAGGTGGGGTCTGGGGCTCCGATCCGAACGTTCCCGATGTTCAAGTGTTGACTCGCAGCTCCCTGTCTCAGGGGACGACTCCAGGGAGGAGCATGACCATCGCTCGCTGAAACTATTGCTCGCTGCCCCCCCAGGTAGGTTCCACCATCTACTTTAGGCGCATTCGTGCTTCGAGTCGGGTGGGTTTCCCCATTCCTTCCTTTCCAGTAGGGAGCATTCTTCTTACCCACCTTTGCCCGCCGTTCGGAAGTGGGCAGAGGCATGAAGCAAGGAGGCATTGAACATATGCTGAGTTTCCGCGAGCCCCCTGAAATAGAAAGGCGCCCAAACGAACTTGGAATGCGACATAAAGAAATGAAACAGGGAACACAACTAGAGTTAAGCTTTCAATTGCAAGGGCGAACAGCATCAGGGAAAAGCTTCCTATTGCAAGAGGACGTTGCGTGGCATTGCTTCGAATATTGCTTGGCTTACTGCTTGGCAGATTGCTGGACATTGCGCGGCATTGCTTTGCATTGCTTGGCGAGGCAGCAAGGGTTCAAGACCAATGAACCAAGGAACCGAGACCAAGGAAACAAGGAACTAAGACACGAAGGAACACGAACCAAACCCAAATAACCGAATAATCAAGACCAAGGAACCAAGGAACCGAGACCAAGGAACCAAGACTAAGGCACCCAGAAGCCAGGACCAAGGAACCGAGGAAGCAGGACCAAGGAACGAGACCAAGGAACCAATAAACCATGGCGAAGGAGCCAAGAAACCAAGACGAAATAATCAAGACAAACGAACCAAGACCAAAGTTCCAAAGAACCAAGACCAAGAAACCCAGGCAAGGCCTTGCATGGCAACGAAAGCGAGGAATCCTGGGGAGCGCCCCTATGCAAGGAAACAAAACCAAAGAACCCCATGGGGAACTCCAGAAACAAGAGAGAACGCCCGGGCAAAACGCCATACACACAAACTTTTAGCGAACGACGGGTGCGCACATGTAAGCGACGATCAAAAATTAGGTCTTACGCGAGATGACACAGCGACCTTACGCGGTGGCTTACGCGGGCCGCCCGCGCGGCACGCCACACACTTAGAGGCCTCCTAGATGGGGATAGATGGGGTCGGAGTAGATGGGGTCGGAGGATAGTGCCGCAACGCCGATACGAAGGCGATACATCGCCGATGCATCGGCGACGCCAGCGTGGAGAAACTAGGGCTCCGCATCCAGCAGCATCGCCGATGCATCGGCGAAGCGGCGCGATCTTCCGACCCCATCTACTCTGACCCCATCTATGAGGCTTAGAACACTGGAGACGAGGGCGCTCACGCGCGACCTTACGCGGGCAGCTTACGCGGCAATGTCGGCGCAAACGACCCCGTTTTTTTGGCATCGCACATGTGCCCTGGGGCTCCGATCGCCCACGGTCTTCGCTGGGGCTTACGGGGCCCCTTGGCCATCCGCCCGTTCTGCCTTCGCCGAGCCAAGCGAGATCGGGCGGGTAGTGATGGGGGGGTGACCCAACTGGGCGGTAATGGGGGTGGCTCAGTCGGGTCACCCCCCATTACCACCCGCCCGACGAGAGTGGGAGAGGGGCCGTCCCTGGCAGGCCCTGGTCCGTCCCTCGAGCCGGGATCGCAACGGGGAAGGGAAGCTGGCGGCAGCGGCTTCCGGCACGAGGAAGCTGGTCCACATCGTCGTCGCGGTCGTCGGCGCCCTCCCGTGTATGCACACCTGGATGCCCCGGCCTGCGCACCCCCTCCTCCGCGGGGGTGGCCTCCGCTGAGCGGTGGACCGTTCCTGGAGTGGGGGGGGAGGTGCGCCAGCGCCTGATCAACGTGCTCGGGCGCTCGGGCACACCCGTGGCCGAGAGGGATATCGGAGCTGAGGGGCAACGACAGGGGGGGGGGGGCGGCACAGGGGGTGCAGGATCGGCCATCGCCGAGACGTCGGCGATGGGCCCCCGACAGCGAACCCGCACGCTCCTGAGCCGAGTGGGTTATCGGGCACCTATCGGCGGTGGATGGGCGATTGGGGTCGCTGCCCCCCCCACCCCCTGCAGCCCATCTCCGCCAACATCGCCCCCAAGAGGGGCGCCGCCCCCGGCAGGCCCCAGCCCGCCTCTCGAGCCCGCACCGCCCACGGAGGAGGAGAGGCCTCGGAGGGCCGCCCCCTCGCCTGCCCGCCCCTGCTGCGCTCTGGGCAGAGGGGCCATGCACGGCTGAGAAGGCGCCTTACCCCCGGCCCAGGGCGGCCCAAGGTTTCTCCCAGGGAGGCACCTCTGGGTCTGGCGCCTGTGGGCGCCAGATCCACAGATCGGGATGAGCCTGACCAGCCTCGAGCCATGCCCGGGGTTGACCAGCCCAAAGGCAGAGCAAGAATCCTGGGGATGCGCCCTCAGAAACCGAGGGGATCCTTAAGATCGGCACCGAGATAACTGATGCAATGCTGCGCATAAGGATAGAGGATAAAGGGGCTGCTTCAGGCTGGTGATACCCCCGAAACATGAAGCCAATGCCGCCCCATCTGGCGACCGCGCGGATTCTCGACGTTAGACGGGACACATCGCTGGTCCCCGCGCCTTCAGCCCTGAGATCCTACGTTGCAGAAGCTGCAACATCGCAGGAAGCCACGGCCCGAGCCGTGGACCCGCTCCTCCTGCGACGCACTTCGAGCCAGACCGACCTGTGATGTGGCCCTGGGGCCCGAAACTGGGCGGAAAACGCCCGGTGTGAAGAAGTTGCAGCGCCCAGATGCCAGGCATCCATTTTTGCGCTTGCTCGATTCGGCGGCGAGCGAGGGGGGGAATGAGAAGGAGAAGGCCCTCTCAGAAGGCAGCGGGGCTTCTCAGAAGCCCTCCGGCCTTCTGCCAAGTTCTCAGTTCTCGGGGAGGCTCATCAAACTTCTCAGAAGGCTGGAGGACGTCCGAGCCTTCTGAGAAGGCCCGCCCTGGTCCAGTCCCTCCTAGGTGAACGAACCCCATACACCGACGTTTTTTGCAGCCCTGCACCGAAATTGGCACAGGAAAGCGGATCCTGGTGTATACGGGATCCTGGTCTGTACGTTTTTCGTTGTTTCCCTGGCAAAGCGGGGAAACAAACATACACCACAACCCCCCGACGTCGTCCCCGGCCGTCAAAAATTCCTGGAGTTGAAGAAACAACCCGCCACTGGTAATGTATATGTTCCAGTTTCCCACAACCACTCCCTGGCCCCTTGGCGGCGACCGCGTGTCCTTCACGCCCACGTCGACTGCCGCGGCTCCGCCCGCCGCCGGCGTGGGGGGGCCGACGGAGCCGTCCTCCTTCAGGGACGCAGAAGAACACTTACGTCAACATTTTCTTATTCGGCGTTTCGACCTTGGGCGGAAGGGGGTGGGAAGGAGGGGGGGGGGTCCGGACCTCTGCTTAATGCGACTGTTTGCAACAGTGTGTCATATGGAGGAGACTCCACCTGCTTGAAGCAGGCGCCAAAAGCAGCCAAGATCTACTCCACAGGGGGGAGGGGATGCGAGGGTCCGCGCCGATCGGCAAAACAACGAATAAGAAAACGATCACTACAGCATGTTCGTGCCATGACGACTGCGGCGCTGCTTTCTGACACCGCGCGGCCGAGGAGGAGGAGGAGGAGGAGGAGGATGAGGAGGAGGAAGAGGGGTGAGGAGGAGGGGGAGGAGGAGGAGGAGGAGAAGGAGGAGGAGGAGGAGGAGGAGGAGGAGGAGGAGGAGGAGGAGGAGGAGGGAGGAGGAGGAGGAGGAGGAGAGGAGCCGACGGCCGAGAAGCGGCCTCGGACGCCCGTGGTGTCACGCAAGGTCATTCGATGTCGGCCGGATTCGACCTGGAACGCCCGTGGTGGGGGTCGCCGCTGCGTCGACACGACACGAATGCCCCGTGCGACGATCCTGGGCCAAAGATATGCCTGGCCATGAGCGGCAATCATTTGGGGGTCCCGAAACGGTGCGGTGACGGACCGTGCGGTGACCTCGAAATCCCCCAAGACCTCACCGCACGGTCCGTCACCGCACGGTCTTGGGACCCCGGAGGCCCCTGTCGCCCGAGACGTCCTCGGAGAGGGACTCGAGTCCCAAAACCGTGCGGTGACCCCGAATCCCCACCGACTCACCGCACGGTGTGGTCACCACCCCGTTTGGGGGCCCCCGAATCATGTATAGATCTCGTCGCCCGGAAGAAGCGGTATAGGGTTAAAGGATCACCCTCATCATGAAATAAGCAGCTGGACAAGTCAGGCCCTTCAATAAGTACATATGGTTTCACATCTGAGGAAGGCATCAAAAAGGACAAGGCTGTTCGGTGAACGCCCAGGTATGCTTCATAATCGCCACTTCTGGGGGTCGGAATGGTTTTCCCTCCCTCGAACCATTGCGGCATAAGCATAGTTACGGCAAGTTCGTGTGGTGCCGACTTCGGCGTTGGTCTCTGACACCGCGGGGGTCGTTCAATCTCGAACGATTGGCCATTTCTGGGAAGTCTGGTCGTTCAACGTCGACCGATTCTGGGCCGCCAGCGGCGCTCACAATTGGTCGCGGGCGGCGGGGTCACCGCCGGTCGGCGCGACGCGAACCTACCGTAAACTCTCGGAGGTCCGCGCAGATTTCTTGGCTCGGCGCGGGACTCCCGTGCGCCGACCCCGCGACCCCAAAGGCGGAGCAGGGCGAATTGAGATGACGGCAGCTCAAAATCGGTCCTGGGACCCCTCCCGGGGGCCCAACGCACCAGTTCTCCCAGCTGCGTCCCGCTGCTGCGACGAGGATCCCCCCCCCCCCCCCGAAGGCTAACTGACGTTGCCTCAGCTCGCAGGAGGAGGAGGGAGAGGGAGAGGGGGAGGAGGAGGAGGAGGAGGAGGAGGAGGAGGAGGAGGAGGAGGAGGAGGAGGAGGAGGAGGAGGAGGAGGAGGAGGAGGAGGGGGAGGAGGATAGCCCTCCTCTGAGCAACCGCGCTTTCATGTAGACAGCTTGCAGCCCTGCCACCCTGTGCCGCCCCGCTGCTCACGAGCGGCGGGTGTGCGGGTCGGCCTCGCCGAGTGGATCTCTGAGCACCTGGCGGTGGCCGCGACGGCTTCGCGCTAATGGGGGGGAACGAACTGCTGACTTCGCCTAAGACGCAGCCAATACGAAGATAACATCGGGTAGTGATAAATCGAGAATCTCTGAGATCTGGCGTCTCTGGAAGATGTCTTGGGCGCCGCGGCCTTCCCAGAGCGTTCCAGAACGCTCTGAAAGCGTTTGGAGCGTTGCGGAACGCTCTGGGACGGATTTATCCTCGTCCTAGCCCCGCTCGATCCCCGCCCTCTGCCACCATCTCTCCTCTGACCAGCTCCGGAAACTTCCGCCTCGACAACTTGTGGCCCTCTATCCGGCAAAGGCTGGCCGGGCCTCGGATTCCCGACGACTGCTTCCTCTGGACGGGGTTCGACAGCCCCTTCGAGGGTGGAAAAATTTATCTCCTTCGATCCTTGTCGTCCGAATCGACAACCTTGCTCCACTTGGGGTTCGACCCCTCCGGCGGCAACCGCGCACATCCACTGACCCAGCGCCTCTTTGCCTGATAGGGTCAAGTACGGTATCTTGCCCTCAACGGCCAGGTCCACTCTTTGACCGTTGGGCAACAACAGGTAGGGTCTTTGGCCTGCTGGCCAGAAGAAGCTAAAGCCGTGATCCACGCACCGCTCTCCTACCGAAATCACGCACGGGGTCTCCGGCATGACTAAATCATTAAAACTACCACCCTTAAACTTGGGGCATGCGATGCGAACTGAACCGAGGGCCTTTGATTCTCCCCCAGCAGTATTCAGAGTGATCGATTGCGGAAGCTTTCGAATCAATCCCATTGCGCCTGCACTTCTAAAATATCTCTCCGCTATGAGGTTATACCCACACCCAGTATCTATGATAAAGCTCAGCGCGCCAAGATACGCAGCGTCTTTGTCTGTGCATCCAGCAGCGGCTGTGCCGTGTGGGCCCTCTTCCCCCTCTTCGGTTCTCAACCAGAGATGCCAGACTTCATCCTGCAGGTCCGACGCTCTGATCAGGGCCTCCGCAGCAGACGCCCTCGACTGAGTAGACATCTGTCTGCGCATTTCTCCTGGGAATTTCCACCTATCTTTGCCACTCGAAGGCAACTCTTTCAAGTCGTGGCGACGCGCCTTCCTCCAAGTAATGGTGGGCTCCTCAGTAGAGGGGTGAAATCGGACGCGGAGTTTGCACCCATCGTTCTTTCGATGTCGGATGCAACTCTTACTAGGGAAAACGCTCCAGCTCTTCTTGATCGCATCCCGAGAAAGAGGATATAGGAAATTCGCAAGGACATTGACGAGACTCTCGACCTGTTCCCTGCCTTCGCGGTGAAACTCGTCGCCGGAGGGATTCCTGTAGTCTCCTCCGCCGGTATCAGTTAAGACCTTCAAAAATTTAGGGCTGGTCTGCGTCTGCCCTGAGAGGCCCCGAAACAACGGAGCGGGGCACGCAATGGCACCCAAGCTGACTTGGTCAGTGGGTATCTTCTGACCCCCCCGCTTTCGGTTTGACCGACGCGGACTTCGCCACATCCGTCGAGCAAGGAAGACAAGAAAGAGTACCCTTAACAAAATTATGCGAATCATTCCTCCTGCACTGGCGGCTGAGCCGCCAGTGCGGAGCCATTGTCGCGGATGACCAGCTGTGGTCTGGGCAAACCAACATTCCTTGCCACGCGAGCATTTACCTGTTTCCTTGAAGGAGCGACAGATGATGTCTTTGCCTTTGCCCTTGCCTTTGTTCTTGTCTCCATTATTTTTGCGTTTGTCGGAGTTATTACTGGAAGCTCTCGAGCCACCGTCGCCTCCAGACGACGATGCATTGGCAACGACGGCATTGGCTTGCTTGGCTGTGCGCTCGTATCCCAAGGATTGTCCCGCGTCAAGTTTCGTTTGTTCCCATTTGTCGCGTTTAAGCTTCTCAGCATCGGTCAACCCTCTATGTACTTTATTGCAACCGTCTGCTGCTCCGCGACCATTCTTGGAATCTCGAGACCACGCGTAGCATGGCATCGTGCTCTCTTTCCCACGCGATCGATTGGATTGACTCCTGTTCTTTTGTTGCGCCCCCTTCCCACGTCCACCCATTGGGGTCTGCGATCGACTCTGCCCCTCGCGGCCTCGGTCCTTGGATCTCCCTCTGGGGTTCTTGTCCTGAGCAGGAGCGGCATTAGACTTATTTCCCGCAGCTGGCTGAGGCGGCGCGGCAGTCTTGGGCTTCTTGTGACTGAAAAGACAACCTTTTCCTGCATGCGGGCAGGTTTCGCCCTTACGCACGTACCTACACGTCGTCTCGCCCGTAGTCAATCCGCTTTTCATGACATCGGTGGGTTCCCCTAGTTTAGCTGCTACTTCTGCCGGGGCGGCGTTGCCGCCGGCATTCCTTCGATTGTCATTGCCTCCATCTCCGCCCAACCTGGCCTGCCGAGCACGTTGATTCAAGGTGCTCTCATGCACGCTGATGTTCCACTCTTCTTTATCACGCAGCATCATTCCTTCGATCTGCTCCATCAGCCATCCGTAAGTCTTCGCACCATGTCCCATTTTATCCTTGGACCGGTCATAGAGTTGGCAAACGAAATTCACTTTGTTGGGCTTTCTGCATTGTTCGATAAAGTGTGCATGAATCGAAGCTCTCATCTCATCCGACGGAGGTCGGGCGCCATAGAGCTATTGGTATACATATGTCCATTCGTTATAGACATGATACAGATCAGCGCCTGGCTTGTTGGGGTCAATAACAACCTTAAAGATATCACGCGAAATGCGATGTTGGCCCAACTCCGACCGAACAGAACACCAATGACATATGGCTCGTACCATCTCGCGTCCCGTTAAGAGCCTTCCCTCATTCTGGGCGCTGCGCTCCATTCGAGTGATCTGCTGGAGGAAGTGCATGTGATGACTGGGCTGGTTGCGATGTCTCAATCAGGCCAGTGGCGACCATGAGGTCAAGACGCTGAAAGCGACCTGCTTCTTTCAGTTGTCCATCATCCACAGCAGGGTTCATAGCTTCCGTAATCCAGCTCTGCGCTGCTTGGCTCTCAGGCGACGACCCAGCGATCGCCGGGATTGCATGCATTTGCCACTCCCGTATGTTTGTAACATCGGGGATGTCCAACAAGTCAATCTTCTGATTGTTTCCAACCTGTCTCCACTGGTCCAACGGCGTACTTTCATCAATACCTCCTGGGCCATGCGGCCCGCCTGGGCACTGAGGTCCTCCACGGCCGCCTCCACCATCTGAGGGGTCCGATCCCGCCGGACTCCCTGGAGGCGGTTTATCTGGTCGTTTGGCGTTAGCTTCGTCGCGCCTCGACATGATCTCAGTGCTCGGCGCGGCACTCTTGTCATCCCCTCCTTTGTCCTGTCCTGCCTCGCCAGGCGGCTTAGCCGCTGGCGGCCTCACAGGTCCATCCCTGGAAAATGGATAATAGTTGACAAAACGGGCATCGTCGTTGGACCCTGTCAATTTCATGTTGATTGGTAATCCATTCTCAGGGGTGCTCGGTTTAGCCGGACCTTCGAGAGCAGGACCAGGAACGGCAAAGTTGTGGCGCATCAAGGACCTCACAGGAGTTTCTTGTGAAAGTAATGGCAAATCGAACGTACTCGAGATGAGCACTTTTTCTTGTCCGCTCTCAGTGAACGGGAATGGATTCGTGATGATAGCTTTAAGCTTCATCATTCTTTTCTCTGACTCGGCTGCATTTGTTAAGGCCTCGCCTTCTCGGATGTCGGCAGCTGACCTGTCGCTCTTCTTTAAAGTGCATGTAGAACATCTTTCGGCGTTCGCATCAAAACGATCTTTGCAAGCCGGCAATCCACAACCAGCGCAATCACCCGTCTTCGGGTTGAAGCAAACTGAGCAAAACTGGGGAACTGTGAAACTTGCTGTGTTAGTTTCTTCCCTTTTCGCAAGCTGAGGCTGCGGTGCAACCCTCACCTGCAAAGTTGACGATCCCGCGTTCATTATGGTTGTCAAGTCAGGCTGAGGCGGAACGGACATTGAGCCAGACGACTGAGCCGCTGGCGATGGTCGTCTTTCCGTTCCAGCCGGCTTAGCTGGCGGGCATTTATCATTGCTCACTTGCATGCGCTGTAGGGGTGCTCTGGCAATTTCATGTGATTTGAGTTCCTCTCGATATTGATTGTTCTGGTCAGCTATCTTCGCAGCTACAACTTGGGTGCTAACCACTTCCAGCCTGGCGTTCGTAAGCTTTTCTTGAAGCTCCTGTTTTTCTCGTTCCGCCCTGGCTGTAGCGATTTGTTCTCCTTCTACTCTAGCCGCCGCAATGGCAGCGGCGACCGTTTTGGCATCAACAGACTGATTGGTCGCCGCCACAACGGCCTGTCGTTCTGATGCCAGCATCTAGATATATCTACTCTCGGCTTCTCTCTCCGCCTGCCGCTTAGCGGCCGCGGTCTGATGGTGCACCTGTTCCACCAGTTCTTGTTCTCGCTCTCTGGCAGCCCTGGCTAGAGCAAACCTTTCAACCTCGAGCGTCTTCCGAACTTCTTCCATGGTTGCGATCATCTCCTCTCGATCCAGTCGGGCTCTTTCGGCCAGCTGTGCTTCGCTTGCCAGGGACTCCTGCTGAGTCTTGACTTCAGCTAGTCTAGCCTGATCCTGAATAGTTTGTATAACAAAATATATGCAGTTCTGCTCGTTCATAGGGAAGCAATCTTCACACAACCATTGGGTGCTACACTTAGGGCATACCTCAGAGCAACTCTTACATACTGGACGCTTACATGCACCTTCTGGCGCGTTGGCTTTACCCGGGCATCTGCCCCCCGCCTGAGGCGCGCAGTCAGAAGTCCAGTTCCAGCATGTTTCCATCATGGAAATATTGCTGTTGCTCCTTGAAGTAGATCGCGCTCCTGATCTCGGCGTTTTGGGTCTTCCCCTGCTAGAGGCGTTCGATCGAGGGCGCACAAACGTACCTTCTGGGTGTTTAGGTACTTCTCGAAGCCCCTCATCCCTTTCGCCCTGTTTTATAAGCTCAGCGTACGAAGCGGGTT